AATCGAATAATTCCAGCTGTGCTTTATTAATTTTCAGCCAATCTAATTTCTCTTCATAGTTGGTTTCATTCTTCTAAATTTGCTCAAGCAAATACTGTCTTTGTAAACATTGTATTTCTTTGAAGGTTTGATTTATGCACCTTTGGCTCGATCCTGCAGTCTGGCCCCTCTCCAGCAAAGCACTTAAGTGTAGAAGCAGGAAATAAATAATTTTAAAATGGTTTGGTTTAAAATGTATTTATGTAAATTATAGTCTAGACATTCAAATCGTTGCGTATCTGTCGCACATTTAAAAATAAGTAATTAAGCATACTCCTGTACTTTCGCTCCTCTGCTCAAGGCTCAATGTGTATTAGAGCAAAGCAAAGCACCAACTCTGCCACAGAGTTAAGAAGGCCTATGAGTTTAAAACCCAGGTTTTCTAAGACTGTTTCTGGAATACTGGACCTGGGAATACACCTGAAGAGAGGTATATGCTCTGGTCCCAGTCTGTCTAGGGCATATCAGGGCACAACTAGGATGTGTGGCAGTCCCCTCCCTCCCGCTTTTGTTTCCTTTGCGAGGAAGCCCATCTGTGTGCAGCAGATGGGCGCTGCGGAGTGCCTGGCCAGGTCCCCAGATGATAGAGGGACCAGAACCCTGGGGTGTACTTGCAGGTCCGTTTGACTGCGGCATAAGGGCTCTGAAATCTTTGCTGCGCTGGATTACTGTGAAATCCATAGGATGCTGTACAAAGTGATGAACTGATGAAAATTTGGGATCATTGGAGCAAGAGATTTCTGAGATGCAGTCTCCAGGGATGAGGATGTGGACAGACCCCATTGAACTTCTTGAAGTACGCAGATTCTGTCATGGTTTGTTTTTGTTGTTGTTGTTGTTGTTTTTAGTAGTTCCTCGGCTAATCCCAGTTTCTCAGCATTTTCTCCACTTATGACCAGACTTTGCTTCTCATTTGGGGAGGCTGAATTTAATGCATTGTGAAGTGTAGGATTTTATTCACCAAGCAAATGAAATTTTTATGTGCAGAAATACTTTGCCAAAATGGTTTCCCCTACCTGTTTCTAAAGATGTTAGTGACTCAGAATCTGACTTACATGTAGCTATTATGAATTCAGACTCTGCCTTTGCTGCAAATCAGAGAAGTAACTATAGGCATGTGGTTATGGTATGTCTTCCTGAGGATTCAGATTTGAAGGGTTTGGCTGTTATTTAGTTGAAAATACATATTTAAAATACACTTGTATATAAACCGTTATTTGAATATGATACAGCCTTTCAGGAAATATTTAGAGTAAAAAAAAAAAAAAAACAAAACCAAAACCAACAAATAAATGAGGTGCTTAATGATTCCTGTGAAGAGTGAGTGGAAAAGACAAGGTTGGTTGAGCTGTGGAAAAGAACTGTAAAAACTCTAGTGGAAACTGGAAGGGAGAAGGGTGATTCAGAATGGTATCCTGAAAAGTAATGACAGCTGGAAGAAAGGCAGCAGGCATATTTTGGGACAATTAGGGTGCTTTTATCCCTCTATCTCTGCTCCCATATACAAGTTAAGCTGGATTTCAGTGAGCCCTGTGCCTGCAGAAATCATCCTCTGTGACCTCTTCTCTCTCCCTGTGCCTGTGAACTTGGGAGTGGGTGGAAGGAGAGAAGGGAGAAGCAAGCTGCCTTTTCCATAGAGCTGAACATCTCCTTTTATTCCCTCATGTGAACCCCAGAATCTAAGGGGACCTCAAGATAAATCAAGGAATCCATGAAGTCCGGCAGATGGACTTGAACCTAACTGCAAGTCTGTCCTTACTACAGTCTGTTTGCAAGTAGGTGCCTTCTGCTGGGAGAGTGCACAGGAACATCAGGTGTCTGCAGAGAGAGCAGGCTGACCAAGAAAAAGACGCATGCAGGAGATCCTCAAGCCCTCTTTGCTTTGGCACTCCTTGTGTTTGGGCAAGTTCTCAAAAACCACTCCCCCAACCATTCAAATTCCAAGGCTACTCTATGGTAACACCACATGGACAAATTTTACAACTCCTTAGTTCTGTTAAATAGTCTGCTTTCATTGATGCCATCATCAAACACTCAGCCCAACCTTATATACCATTTACTTCCAGACAGTTCCCTATAGCAAAAGGATTCTGAGACAGAATAAATTATTTGTCCCCCTCTTTTGCAACACTTTTGTACCTCTTCGTTGTATCATATGCACCCAACCTTTCTACTGGCATATTGTTGGCCCACACTGGTTTCACAGCTCAGCTAGCTTGCTATAATGAAACCTCCCACCTTATAAAGGTAGTGCACGCACTCTGCCTTGAACCTGAAAAACTCTTAGTGGCTTTTGGCAGCTTCAGGAAAGCAGTTTTACAATGGTACTAGTGTGCCTTCTCTTTGTATTTCCTGGCTTTCAGAGGATTGGTCTCTGCTGAGCTGGAGCTCTGTAGGATGGAAGAAGAACTCAACTGAGTAAGGTCCTGGGCAGATCAGTATTACTTTGACATTAGCCTTGCTTTGACAGGGAATAGGAATACTTGATTTCCAGAGGTCCCTTCCAGCCTAACTGTTCTGTGACTCTGTTGGACATCCCAAACTCTATGGTAGAAAGGTCTTTATCAGTCACAGCAAGGTGTGATTAAGAGAGTAATGAAGTTACTAAGCAAGAACTTGATCCTGTAAAGCTGAAATCATCAGTCTCAAGCTTCAAGTGTTTTTGTGAATGAAATAGATGAAGATTTTATCAGTGGAGTTTTCTCTGCTTAATGTTACAGGGAATTCAGTGATGGCATCACTTATTTTTTCGTTTAATTTATTTATTGCATCAACAGTTGCAGCAGGAGGAGTATGTTCTACATTCTGGGATATGACAGATTTAATTGCTTCTCTGATACAATGTTTCTTTTTGTTATTATTTTGATCTATAATAGCAGAAAAAAATGAAAATACTGTGGGTTATGAAGCCTTTGTTCATGGAAAATGTCTGACAGGAGAACAAAGCCTATGCCCAAGTACTCATTTCCTTCAACCCCATGGAGACTTTTTTCAAATGTGTATTTTTTAGAAAAAT